CCAGTCTTAACTTAACAATAGAGTTATTTTATCCCATTTTTCCTGAATTCTAATCAGTTTTGTAGATGAAGGGATGGAGTCATTAAGGCTTAATGGGAGGGATTTTTTTTTTTTTTTCCAAACCTACCTTTGCTATAGCAGGGTCTAGCTCATGCAGTTAAAGGAACATTGTAAACTCTGAGAGGCACTTTTAAAAATACAGCAAGATCCCTTTGTCGTCATAATCCGCATCCCTATTGTACTCAAATATAATGACATGGTAATTGATGAGATGTAGTTGCATAGCTCTGAAAGCTGGCGTGTGTTCCTTCAAAAAGAACAAGAAGGAATAACTCCTCTGAACAAAATATTCAGACTTTACAATACTGTATTTTGTTACAGCAGCAGATTTTTTTAATTTATTTATTTTTAAACTATGACCATTCAGAAAGTATTTCAGGTTTGAGTACTGTTAGACTGGAACAGTATTTTTTCGGCAGATATCCATTCTTCCTGGCACAACAGTATGCAACATTCATATAATTAGCTGGTTTGCAAGTGCTCAGAGCCCAAAGAAAGGAAGAAGCAAAATCTGAACTCAAAATCAGAATAACTGACAAAATCTCTTTTCCTTTTTCAAGTACGTGGAGAATTTTGCTTCATCTAGGTTATTCATTACAGAACTGAAATGCAGTTCTATAGAAGCCTTTGGTTTTTTAACATTTTCTTACAAACTTTCTTTCTTTCTCATTCTTGAAGACAATTGTTTTTTTAGTACCTCTCTTGGACATTGAGTATTTAGTGCTCATTTGAAAGCTACCTTCTGTTTTTGGAGAGTTCCCTCTGTGTCTCCGACACTCTCTGAAAAAATAAGGATGTGAAAGTTTTCTCTGATGTGTCAGTTTGGAAGGCACACAGCAGCATTAAAATGTTATGGGATAGCTTTATATCCAGTACAAGGACACAACTAGAAAGGTCCATGGAGCCTATGTACAAGAGCTTTGGATTAATTTGAGAATTTGTTAGATAATTTGTCGTGCCAAAGTCTCATAGTCTTACCTTGTCTTTTGGGCAGATGTGCCTTCCCTCCAGCTGAACAGATCATCAACCAATCAAAGGTTTGTGGTTTGGGGTTTTTTTTTTGTCAAACTGTGATAGGATTTTGAGAAGTTCACTCAATTCAATGACTTCCTATTAGTGAGAGATTCTAATCTAGGATCTGTGGGCCTTGGGGAATGCAAGTTTTGTTTCACTTGCTAAAGTAAGAAAGTAAAAAAAGAGAAGACAAATAAGAAAATTAAAATGTACTATCTTCTTTTACCGTAGTCCATATGGAAAATGAGGGGCTGCCCTCATCCATATTTATACCAAAGATAGTTCCCATGTTCAACAGACCACCATGCTACTAATCTCCTTGCATTTTTTTCCTAACCTCATTCTCACCCAAGATGAAAGTATATTCCATTTACTAGACATGTATTGTGAGCTTTAATTTTTTGCCTTTTTTTTGATAGAACTATGGGATTTAGTAAGTCAGCAATACTTTTTGTACATTTGGGGATCAGCGTAAAGAAAATGCTATTTCCACTTCGTGCTATTTCAGTGGATTAGGTGGTGCATCAAAACATACATATTAGCTTGAGTGATAATACCTCATAGCTCTGCTGGGACTATGATAGCTTCCTTGATGCTACTTGAGATTCTTACACATATTTTTCATCATAGCGCTCCTGATGATGATACTCTTATGTGATAGGAATTCTGCAATCATCTTGTAACTGAGTCATTACCTCGATGGCACCAATGAAAAGGAAATGAGTCCACCTCAAAAAAAGAAAAGAAGTTCAATACCATACCATACCAACAATGGTTCTTAAGTATGCTATATTTGTGTAAACTCCCCTTCTGAGTCCAACCTTCAATGGATTCTTGGGTGCAGTGAAAGAAGTGGAAGTAATTGGTCTGATGGCCTACAGCAATGCCAGAAATTACTCAGGCAACTTTGTTGGTTTCTATGTCTCAAAAGAATCCCAATGGTTCCTTGAAACACAACACATCCTTTAGTGAGAATATTCAGACGGATTGTTCAAAAGACCACAGCAATCAGTTTATAACTATAATCAATGTACATAATATTTCAACTTAGATATTTTATATGCTTCACATCAGTTTTGTCAGTTTTAATTGATTTCATGTAAGTGGTCTTTTTTATTTATAAAGACACCATTTTTTATATTTAGCAGTATAAATAATGTCTGAAAATATCATGTGTTCAAAACTGTTTCTTGACTATCTTGGCACTTCCCGATGTACAGTATTTAAAATTTTGTCCTTAAAGTCGGATTCTCCTATCTAAGCCAGATCTTTAAGTAGTGGCTTCATTTTTGCATGCATGAAGGTGGTAACTACAGAGTAAAAATAGATTATAATGTGTATATGAGAAGCATTAGGCACAGAGTTATTCATTTTGGTGAGAGCAGCTGTAAATTTAAACAAATGTTGATTTGTCTCTGTATATGATGTATATATAGACATAAATACCTTTCTTATCCTGTTCTTTCCCATGCATTATTTATTTTATTGTGGTCTAAAATTACAACTTACATAACATATCATAAGTGCTAGGTTCTTCTAGCACTTAGTTTCCAAAATACTTGCAGTTTCAGTGGTGACAGAGGATAATTAACTTGCTCATGCTGTTTCTTTCCTTCTTCTGATAGTGCGAAGGCTTCATCTGCCACCAGATGTCTTTCTGCCTGACTGAGATGTTCCTGTGGTCTTTGAAGACTAACTTACGTGTTAAAGGTAACCTGTTCCCTGTTACTAAAAACAAAACAGCAAAACTTGTTGATGAATATTAAACTGATATAAAATTCTGAATACTCAAATGAAGTGTGTTTTATGCTTAGGAGAAAGAAAAGTAGGCAGCAGTATGATGTCTGAATTTGGTCAGCTTCTTTGCTTATCTCATCATAGAACTGGAGCATCCTTTCAAGTAAAAAATGTTAACATTGTATTTCATTGGGTGCATTTTCCCTTTTAGGAAGCTATGCCCTACTTCACTATAAGCTTCAGTTGAATGACTGGTTTGGGTGAATGAAGATCAGTAGTCAAGTGATTTGCAAAGGCATTGGGATTTAGAGTTAGCATAAAAATAATAAATTACTGGATGTCTGGGTATTCTGCATGATTACTTGAAATTTTATACTTATAAGGTAATATTTATCTTATTAATTGATTGTTCCAGGAGACACATGACTAGAGTTACTAGCCATGTGGAAATTACCTTCATTCATCTTGCCTTGCTGTTGCTGAAGTATAATACTCAAAAAACCCTGCACCAGTTTATCAAAATATTATTTATGACACTTCATGCCAATTGTAGTGTACAATACTTCTGTTTAAATATTATTTGTATGTCATTGAATATTCGATTGAAAATTAATATTCAGATGAATATTATTATTCAAATACTGACTCAATATGTCTTGGCATCCCATCTTTGTGTGAGAACTGTTGTGTATGTAACACCATTAATATAATCAAGTCAAAAGCTGTATTTCATAGAAAATTCTGATAGTTTAGGTAACCACACAGTTGTGATTTATTGTAATTAAAGCTGTACTGTGGCTTACTGTGCCTATTTTCCACCTTTGACCTTCTTGCTTCCTCTCTGTCCGTTTATTGATTGGTTACAAACCTCATTCTAAAATTCTGAGGCAGAGGGGAGGACTGCTGTCTTGTTTGAAAAGCTGCCTGCTGTTGCAGTGTGTTCCTACATTCTTCCCAATACGGAATTTCTCCCCATGGTATAGCCCTGTCTGAGTTTAGACAGAAACAGATGTGGTGTCAAACTAATTATTTTAAAATAATGCAACTTAAAGCTATACTTAGATCTACCTGGTGGAGCTTGCTGGGTCACACCCAAATATTTACCAGTCAGCCACATCAGGAACTGGCTGGTGTGGCTTGCAGTCGCACTGTACCTGAAGCATTCAGATTTCTTTGCCATGGGAACTGGGTGCACAATAAGAACTGTAGATTAAGGGTATAGGATCCTGTGAACTGGCAGCTTTATGAGTTCATGAATCTTAAAAAAATCCTGTTGTCTTTAACTCAGCTGTGTCAGTCATCAGAAAACATTTTAAGTTATTCTAAGGTACATTTTTCACAATGAGCCTTACCTTTCCTTGTGAATTAACATAAAAGAAGGAAATGACAACTCTAAATAAATGTAAGGACCTGTCATGTTCTCCTTTAGCCCTTGCTTGCTGATTCTTGAAAGTCGTACTGGTATTAAGACTACACACTGTAGTTTTTTCACTGTCACTTGTATTTCAGCACCTAACACTGCTCTAGCTTGCACAGATTGAGATGCTGAACTTTGCTTGTTAAGTTGTGTTTTGTTTCCAGTGCCACATCCATAATTAAATATGTTTACATTCAATTGTGTAGATGAAGATATTGGGATCCACCAGTACTATGACAAAAAAGAACCAGGTAAAATATAAATAACCGTTACTAAAACTAAACTTTCCTGTGAGAAAAACACAACTTTGAATTTCTTGTTAATATATGTCTCTGTGTTCCTGCAGAGCAAGGAAACACAGAAAGAGATTTTTCTTTCCCGAGTTACATCAGAGTATTTAGAATCACTTTATTCCACAAAAGAAAAAAAAACTGGGAAAATACTTACATGAAAACAACCATTCTGTAATTAAAAACCTTAGTGGGATTTTATATTCTAAATTCTGATCTTTTAGATTATACTGTCTGTTCTATTCAGCCCTTTCACCTGCTGCAGAATCCCGAAGCACCACCCTGACGCCTCTGAGAGGGCCGGCGCAGCCCCCGGCCGCTGCGGTGGGTGGGCGTTTTCCTCCCAGCAGAGGGCATCGTGAGCGCGCGAGAGGGCCAGCCCTGGCCGCCTGCATCCCTCCCCGCTATCTGACACGGCCATTTCACAGGGAACGATCAATTTTCTTTATCTGATTAATCCTGTTAATCCTAGAAGTTTCGCGATGGGCCAAAAGGTCTGCTTGGTTAGAGTTACTGCCTCTTTGCGGCCAGGTTAGAGCATGGGCTTGTGCGGGCATCCCGTGGGCCGAGTTTGGTGGCTAATGCACTGTCTCTGTGGCTCTGCTGACAGACTGACTCAGCTTCTCTTCTGGGTTCAGTTGCAGCTCACTTCACTTATCTGATGAGATTGGAGGCTCAGTAATGCCAGCCCACCTGTTGGCCCGCATAAGCCTTTCTTTCACTGCAAATTTAAGATATCTGCCTTACAAGGTGAAAACATCAGGACTGTCTTAAATCTTTGTAAATTTCTGTGTTTTATCAAACAGTATGAATATTCTCTCTAGTATTAATATTTGCTGATAGCAGTCATAAGGATTATCATTCACGTTTTCATCCTTTCTTTCCTTTAGCCTCACAGATGAAGCATGGTTCCTTAGAAGAGAAGCAAAAGCTAGCAGAATGTAAGGACATTTTCTGAGTTTCTTGTTACAGTAAGACCAAATTATTAATTTGGATTGGTGATGCCCCTGGGAAAGCATTAAAATAACCTCAGACTGCTTCCAGTGTAACTTTCTGCATATGCCATCTAAGACAGCTGGTCACAGAACTACATAGCACAAAACAATTGAAAAGTTATCATTATTCCTTCCTGGTATGTTTGTAATCTGTTTTGTTGTTTGTTTTTTTTTCCTGTCACTAAGCATGGTAGTGTGTTTTGCTTCTCAAAACCATTTTCAAGAGGAATCACAAAAATAATCACAATCCAGATCTTCCCTTAAGAAATTGCTCAGCAGATGAGCAATAAACGTTTTCCCAATCAGCTCCTGAGTTGAAATGCTAACTGCCTCAAAACTGAAAATCGTAACTAAAATACTTTCAGCCAAAATCAAATTCCAGGTTAATAGGCAGCTGCCTTCATAGAATGCTTTTAGCTTTGAAGCATTTACACTGTTCCTGTATTATCTGGTTAAAACCAATTTCAGTTTATGCTATCACACAGCAGTACTGTGATAGTTAAAGATTTTTATATTAGTACAACTTTTCTTTAGCTCAAGTTTTACAACTCCTGCATAGTTATTACTGCTCAGAGCATTCATTAGTGTTCAAACATTATTACATGCCAACTCTGAAAAATCTAATTGATTTCAAATGAAACTCACAATGTAATATGTATGCTGTAAGAATTGCCATAGCATTTTGTCTTGTCATAATGAAAATCCTTGTGGAATTGTTTGAAAATGTAAAAGGTAAAATGTGCTCCAGAAGGGTAAGTTATTTGCAACCCCATAAGGTGTGTTTGAAGCAGGTTGAAGCCCTACTGGAGATGACTATAAAGGTGCACACAGCTGTGTGGTAAATCTACACCCACTGTGAAGGGTTGTGTGTCAGTCAGAATCAGTAGGGCTCTGTAAAGGTGGAAAGGTGAGAAAGGGTTATAAGTAGGGAGGAGCATAATGGATTTACATCCCTGGTGCTCTGCGTGGTATCGTCTTACAGGTGCTGCCTGTATGAAAAGAGAAGCAAGCCCAGATCAACCCCATTATACAGAAGCCCCAATGGTCTCATACATGTGACATGCAAAAGGAACACAAGCTACTGTATCCTGTTGCTACAGGGGTGTTGCTACAGGGTTGTTACAGGGGTGGCCTAGGCACAAAGCACTGTATTGCACATTTCTTAAAGAGGAACTCTGGGTAGCTTTATTTACAGCTGTTCATTTGTATTTATAGTTTGGTGTCTGTACAGGCAATTTCCCATTTTGCATATGTGGTTAAATATTTCAGTATTTATGAAGGCACCCACTGAAAATGTGATCTTACATGCCTAATTAATATTATCATAACAGTTCTACCAACACTGGCTTCAATCCAATAAAATACAAAGAGAAGTTGTATGTTGGTGTGCTCTTTTGTTGATATATGAAATCCTTCATTTTTTCACTCTATAGCACTTCTATTGTAAGCTCCTTTTTGCAGAGAGGTTTAAACACAACTGTTAAGTCATTCAATCTGGAAGCTGGCATACAAACTGACAGCTTGGAGCTCAAAACTTTTCATCAGGTTTCCTTTAAATAGGCTAGATTTTAAGACGACAATGTGTTCTAGTTTCTCATGGTTTTTATTGTATACTCATGAACAGAAAACTGATCACTTTTAAATGATGAAATTTCACAAGTTATTAGAGCCTGATTCTCAGCCATGAAGCAAACCAATTACTAGCACCTCCAGAGGAAGCTTTGTCCCCTGGTTTCAGGATTAATGTATTAGGCTAGAATTTTCATAGTAGTTTGCTGAACATTAATAAATTTGTTAAAGGACTGTACCAGTAATGGAATTTCTTGTTTGCTTGGCATGGCAGATTCTTCAGACCAAATTTTTAAGAACAAACCCTGTAAATAAGTATACTCCATAATAGAAGTTACGGAGTTCATAATTACCTGTTGTTAATACCTCTGTATATGCATCTATGCATGCATATATATTTTGCAGACACTTTAGTACCTACTTTTTGAAATTAAGCAATGAAATGCTAGTTCAAAAAATAATATCTGTTTAGGATTTGATAACTTGAATCTGAGTTAACATAGTGAATGTTAGATGCTTTCTCATTGCAAGTGCTTAGCAACTGGGGAAGATATTACATTCTGAGAGCTTTGTACACAACTGCCATGCTGAAATCATAGTCAGTGTGGATATTTCAGGCTAACTGTTCCTATGACAGAGCCTTTCAAAAGGATATCATTTGACAATACAAACCAATAGAAACTGTAGCCATTTCCTTGCAATTATAGATTTATGTTTACAGTAACTCCTAGAAATCTTAGTTTTGTGTTTCTACAGAAGAGGACTGTCAACTTTAAGTACTTTTTTATTATATATAATGTACACACATGCGTATATATACAGTCACCTATATATACACATTTCTCCATCTTCTTTTTTCTTTCCACTTTTATTTGCTGGCTTGAGATTATCCTTGGATACTGAAAAAAAAGCGACCAGACAAACTGCGAGATACACTCAAGGAGGTAGAGGTATGTTTCAGAAAGTTTCAAGTACAGCAACATATAATTCAGTTTTCAAACCTCTTTCAGCAGCTTTAATTTTAATAAAGATCCAACTCTTCCAGTGATGATAAATGTGCTTTTGTCTGGTGGACTGTTCTAAAACAGCTGCATCTTTATGTGGCATGCTTTGTCTATAAACTTGAAAATCAGAAGTAAGTTAACTGATAGTGACAATGTGTACTGCCAACTCCACTCTCTGTTTTCTGTTGTCCTTTAGGACTTAGTGCAAAACGGTCAATGTATGCTGAGCAAATGGAAGAACAAACATATCTGTCAGGTAAACTGTTTTGACAAGCTCTTGCAATGTTCAGTCAGTGGAGCCAAACAGCCATTTAGTGATTGATGCAATAGTGTTAAAATCTTAGCTAAAAGAAAATAATAATAATAATAAAAAAATGTATGGGCTCTTATTATCTAGACTGTGTTTATTTAAATTTCTAACCTAAAGTAGATACTATGATGCTTTGCAACAAGAAAAATTCCATTAAAGGACCCTGATTCTGAGAGATTATTATTTGGGGAAACTGAAAGCATCCTGTACTTCAAAATAGCAGGCTAAGAGAGCAGCTAAAATATATAGACAGGTTTGGAATCTATGTTATATTACACTTTTACATCTTAATTATTTACATGTCTGTTGCAAATCTTTTTACTTTCTGCTTATGTAATATGAGAGGGAAGCTATAACTCTAAACCACCTAGACCATTAATCACGTTATGGAACAAAAGATACTGTGACATGTGGCACATATGTAGCTATGTTCTTTGTCTGTGTAAGTTCCACATTGTATTAAAGAAACAGCTTTTCACATCCTCATTAACATGGAACAGTAGGACAGTAGTGGATCTGAACATAACACATACTCTAGCTCCTTATTCATGAGCTTATTCTGAAAAACATATGTAATGTATTGAGGTTCTGCAGTCTTCATTGTTCATGAGAAATGTGCATTGTGTTTGAAGCTGCTTTGGCATGGAGAATACTTGTAAATATTACTAATACTGTTTCTAAAAAGAAATTCTGTGTTCTAACTTTTATGCTTTTTCAGATTCTTTTTTTTTCCTTCTAGTTCAAATAGTTCCAACTGTATGTGTCAGCAGGATGAATATTAAACATTCAAACATCATACTGCTGAAATTCCAGAAATGTCTTTAAGAATGGCAAAATTTTTAAATACCTGATATGCCAAATAGTGTATAGTCTTTTTGTATCAATAATAAAGATATTATTGTCTAAGCTACCATTGCCTATCAGATCTTATAGCTAGTAGATTTATACCATTCACATACAGATTACATAGTGTATACCTGTTAATGTTAATCTTCTATAACTGATTTAGATATTAGTTATATGCTAATTTAGAGGACTCATTTTTTTTCTGTTATTATTGTTCTGATTAGGAAAGGAATTTGATTTAAGAATTACTGAGTCAATTAGCCATGAGTGTATTCATATGCTTCTGAGTTTGCTGTGTCTTCATTTGCTTTCCCTGTTCATTCACTCTCTGTCATTTTCTTTTCCCTCCTATCTATCTGCATCCACTTGCATACCTTACCAATGCATACTTTGGAACAGTGAACTCCTTGCCAAAATCTGGTTGTCCTGCCTTTATGAAATAACACCTTTGGTTAGCTATCAATTCTGCATAAAATTCTTTCTTTTGACTTAGCATCCTCTAAGTAGTTTCAGGCTTAGTTAAACAAAAAGGAGGCAACTACAATTCTACATACTTCTTGTACAGGATGCGAAATAAGAGAGGTGGATGTTTTTATCTTAGTATATTAGATCTGACTCTGTATTGGATTTAATAATGTGAAGGAGCAGCTGGATAAATTTAGTATATTTTTTTAGATGGCTCATATAGCCAGAGTATAAGTGATAGTATAGCTTATAACACATTTGAGTTGAAGTTCTAGATAAAAATCATAGTCATTTCTCTGTCCTTAAATTTTGCTTTTTGCTTCTCAATCACAAAACAGAATGGTTTTTTTTGGTATAATAATGGCTGACAATTCAAGTCTTCAATAGAATTTAGAATGCTTTGCCAAAAGTTGTGTTATTCTACTTTTTAGCTTCCTGAAAATATGAGTTCTGAAGATAAAACAGAGAAAAATTAATAATTTTGGAGAGTCTAGAACAGAAAAGCTGTCTTCTATCAATTTTTATGTCAGTTTGTTTTTCTGTTGCCTAGCTGTCTTTGAGAATTTTGCAGGAATACCTGGACTCTCCATTTTTGATAGAAATATTCTGAAGCTTAGTAGTGGAAAAAGAAGAATCCACATTTGCATTAAATTTCAAGTGTAATAGAAAGCAACATGTCAGATAAACTGCTTGGAAAGCATGTAGTGAATTACCCTGACTGTTGTAATTTTCCGTAATTTGGGCTAAATCTGAGTATGGTTTAATTATAGTATTTCTTTTAGCTCTTTGGGTTTTAGTAGCAATACAATGTCAAACAAATTCATTTATAGAAATTAAAATATTAAACTCAACAGCCATCACATTTTTCAATAAACGTTCTGTGTATTTGAATCTGCCATGTCTTTAGCTGAACCAGGAAGAGTTCCCTTTGTGTTGTAGTAAGAACGTGCTATCCAAAAACTCAATGGCTAAGCAAGAGAGAACAAATGGAAAAAAAACCTGAAAGGTGATACAATGATAACAAGACTATCTTTTAAAAGAGTAGTATGAGTTTCTTCAAATTTTGTGAAAAACAAGCATAAGAGTGCTGCTAGTGTGCCTTCTGGAACCTAAACATCACTATTCCTAATCCCTCACTGCTTCGTCCAGCACTTCCAGCTTCTAACTAGCCCACTGGCAAAAACTGGGGACTATAAATTTAAACATACATCTGTTAAAAGTAAGTGTGTTGTCATGTTAGCCATTTGTGTGCAAATGACCAATTAGACTTCATGCATATGCCTCAATGAAAAATCTAGTTAGTTTGCATGTAGATTATCTTGTCCATTGTATGAATGTATTTCTCAAAATTGGCTCTTTATGAATTTGCCTAGAACTACTATGGTAGGGACAGCTTTCTACTTTTTATTGTGATGTTTCATTTTATGCATCACAATTTATATTAGTTTTTTTATATATAGAATCAGTGCATTAGAAGATTCATTCTTACTTCCTTGTTCATTGCCAAAAAAAACCATTGACATTTATTTTTGCAGTCCTAAGTGTACATTCTAGTACTGCTTAGAGCTTCTGAAATAGATGGTGTGCCAGTTCTGTAAACACAACTTAGACTGTACAGGGATTTTTGTCCAGGAGCTTACTCTCTTATTTAAAAGAGCTTAGTTGAGCCCTAAAGGACTGAGGTCTTTTCTTTAGCTCTGTTCCTACTTGTTCCAATAGGATCTGAATGCACATGATTTCTGTATGATACTTCTGAACCCCAACTTCAATGGCTGGTGATGAGTTGCTGAAATAATCCTGTAATCTTTAGTTAGTTGATGCCAAAATAAAATAAATAGGCCATAAAAGAAGGATGATGAAAAATAGACAAGAAGTCTTTACAATAAGATGCTACTGTATTGTTTATAATTAAATAAACAATTTACTCCTCAGATTTCCCTGCTGAGGAGATTCCTTGATCTAAGGAATTAATTTTATCAGTATTGGTGAGTTTACTCAGCTCAGCTCTGGTTGCTTCCCTTCTTGTTCTCCTTCTCTAACTCTTTGGAATGCTTTTAAGCTTTGTCACAAGATCATTAAATCAGTCCTATGAATTGATACCATTGGTTCAGGTTTGGTTTTACAATATAAGGTAGTAAAATTAATGAGAACTAGCTGAAACATTCCATTTCCAACTTTTTTTAGTTTTACATTTGCATTATGATGTACAATTAAACACATGCCAACACTGTATTCTTTTATTGTATAAAAGCCAAGCACTAGCTGTGAATCATATCTGTTACCTGGTAATGAAAAAGATGTATATATTCCTCACTAAATTACTTTGATTTAATCTGATTTATGTTGCAATTTAAATATGTATGTGAATGGTTTTTATGTTACCATCATTGACATATTTAGAACTGGATTCTGAATTGAGATACACAGTGATATTTGCTGACATGGCTTGTTATAATCAGCTGCAATGCCCATAAGCAAACTGATTTAGCAAGATATGTGGTGACATATAGTAGCACATCTGATATCAAAATCAAGACATTCTGGCTAGAACACATGAGAAGCTAGTGCCCATCACTAGTTACTAAGAGGAGCACTGCCCTCATTGTAAATTCTTTTGGATGCTTTTGATCACAGCAATTAATGTGTAGTTTTAGAGATTTGGAACTAGAAGTAAAAATGCATTGATTATTGTGAAACAGTAACGTGTAACTACAATAACTTCATCTGTAATAAGGCATGCAATAGAGTAATTATGGTAGGGTGGCTAAGAAAGCAATCTGGAATGAAGAGGTGGGGAAAAACCCTGGGAACCTGCTTGAACAAGAAATGCTTTGCAATTCTCTTCTCCTTTTGCATATTACTTTGTTGGTTGGACTTTGTAAGGGAAAACAGTTTACAGCAGCATTTTTTACAGGCATATTTTCCTTCTCTTCCAATTTTAAGCAGATAGAAGCAAATCTTGGCTTTGCTCTGCAGGTACCTTTTTAGGTAGAAGGGCTGATAAGCAGCTAAGCTGCATGAATGAGAAGTCAAGGGCTAAAGCGTCCGAGGATAAAGCAATCCACTTAAGTACATGCTTAATATCTACTAAAGTCCATAAGTCGCAAGCCTGTACTTAAGTCCTTTGCTTAATAAGAAGTAACTTAAATATGTATTGGAGCACTTTGGGAAGGAAAGGACTCAGTCTTCCCCTGAGTATCCTCTGCTTCATATGTCTTTCTTGTTCATTGGAGAAACATTTTTGGCACACAAAGTACATAATTCCTTACATCAAAGTCTTTACATTTAATTTGTCAGTAACACAGAAATTAAGTGGCTCTTCCTTCCCACGATGTAGAAAGACCAGATGCCCAAACATTTTACTCAGACTGCATTCAAGTGCAAAGGCTATGCCTATTCTCCCAGTAGGTATGAAATCATGCTTTCGTAATTTATTTAGTAACACCTTCGGGACTGTTAAAGCTGTAGCAGTACTTCAGTCTGAAAAATTCATGATGTTTCGTTCTTGTGAGCTTCTATCCCTAATTTGATATCTGTTAAATGGAATGACTTTGCACCCTGTGTAAATAAGGCCTCTTATATTTGCTTTTATTCTTTAGCAATGATGGGTAGTTCCCTTAAGCAGTACTTCTTGGAGTTGGATCACTGTGTATATGTGCTCAAGTCAAGTTTGCAATCTTCCCTATTTGCTTTATATCTATTTGTGCTTATGATTGGACTGCTCCCATCCACCAAAACATAAGCTTAGCTATCCAAGCTTATGTATAACAGCACTTGTTATCATCTTTGCACAGACTACACAGTGAATAAGGAATTGAAATAGTGACGTTTCAATTTGAGCACATACATATTTTCACCTTTTACAGAATATTTTTAATGAAAGATAATATAGAATCATAGCATCATTTAGGTTGGGAAAGACACTTAAGACCATCAAGTCCAACTGTTAACCTACCAAGTCCACCACTAAACCATGTGCCCAAGTGCTACATCTACATGTCTTTTAAATACACAGAATCACAGAATGGTAGGGGTTGGAGGGACCTCTGAAGATCATCTAGTCCACCTTCCCCGCTAGAGCAGGATCACCTAGAGAAGATCACACAGGAACACATTCAGGCAGGTTTTGAAAGTCTCCAGAAAAAGAGACTCCACAACCTTTCAGGGCAGCCTGTTCCAGGGCTCTGTTACCCTCACATTAAAGAAGTTTTTCCTTATGTTCAGGTTGAACCTCCTGTGTTCCAGTTTGTGACCATTGTCCCTTATCCTGTCACTGGACACAACCAAAAAGTGTCTGGTCTCATCCTCCTGACACTTGCCCTTTAGGTATTTATAAGCATTAATGAGATCCCCCTCTCAGCCTCCTCATCTACAGGCTAAACAAACACAGGTTGCTCAGCCTTTCCTCATATGGTAGGTGCTCCAGTCCCCTCATCATCTTAGTGGCTCTATGCTGGACTCTCTCCAGTAGTTTCTTTTCCTTCTTAAACTGGAGAGCCCAGGATTGGATGCAGTACTCCAGATGTAGCCTCGCCAAGGCAGAGTAGAGGAGGAGAATAACCTCTCTTGACTTACTGATCACACTCTTCTTAATGTACTCCAGGATAACCTTGGCCTTCTTGGCTGTAAGGGCACATGCTAGCTTGTGGTCAGCCTGCTGTCCACCAGGCCTCCCAGGTCTTTTTCTCCTTAGCTGCTCTCCAGCAGATCAGCCCCCATCCTGATGTGAGCCCCAGATGCAGTACCCTATACTTGCCCTTGTTGATTTTCATTAAGTTTCTCCCTGCCCAACTCTCCAGCCTGTCCAGGTCATGCTGAATGGCAGCAAAGCCTTCTGGAGTGTCAACCACTCACCCCAGCTTTGTATCATCAGCAGATTTGCTGAGGGTACACTCTGTCCCATCGTCCAGGTCACTAATGAATATATTGAACAGAGCTGAACCCAGTACTGACCCCTGAGGAACACCACTAGACATGGGCCTCCAAGTAGACTCTGCCCCACTGACCACAAATGCCCTTTTGCCCTTCAGCCAGTTCCCAATCCACCTCACTATCTAATCCTCCAATCCACACTTCTTAAGTTTGGCTGTGAGGATGTCGTGGAAGATGATGTTGAAAGCCTTGCTGAAGTCAAGGTAGACCACATCCACTGCCCTCCCCTCATCAGTCCATCCAGTTATGCCATCGTAAAAGGCTATCAGATTGGTCAATACCTCCAGGGATGGTGACTCAGCCACTTCCCTGCTTTATTTAAATACCTGCTTGTATTGCATGGTAAACTTTAAGAACTTGGTAAACTTTAAAAAAATACCAACCCTATTCTAATCCTAAAGATTTTTAGAGGGAGGTAGAAGAAATACCGACCTTACATGGTCGTATAGTGTGTAAGGTTTCTGATCTACTTTTTAAATTTAGACTCTAATGTTCCTAGAGGGAAGGACTTAAACTAGACTTTAATAATGAAAATATATAGCATTCATTTAATGATTAGTTTCATAGATGTAAAGAAAAGCACACCCAGTAGCACAAGAATTTATATTTCTGTAAATGTCTTGTCATCATACACTGGAGCAGTTTTCATAGATTTCTATTCTGGCTCTGTAACAGGTGTGATTTATGGCATTACCAGGAAATGAACATATAAGTATAGAGTGAATTTACACCCTGAAACATTTAAGAGTTAAAGAATCCTAAACTTACTTGTTGCTCTCAAGCCAAGAGCTTGCAAGCATGTCTCTATACAGTGTATTAGATGGACATACTAGATATCAGCAGAATGACAAGCATGTGGCCTCATTCACAGTCATTCAAGATCACTAACCATCTGCATATCAAAACATATTTTTTCCTGTGTTTTGCCTCTCCTCTTTACCTGGATGGGTGGTATTTATCCCTACTCTGCCAGGTAAACCTATAGGCTGCTAGGTTAATTCCAGGATGCTTTTCTCACTCCCTGCAAGGAAAGTAAACATGGGAGCAACCTACCATTACAGTTTGTGAGGGAAGAACATAGCTCCCAAGCAAAGACACTGTGGAAGACATAAGTTGGAGAGTTTATTTATATGACTGCACCAGCTCCTTTGTTGGCACAAAACACTGAAGGATTTGGGGTGTTTTAGTCTTCTCTGGCAGACTGATATTCATTCAGTAATTTAGAACTGATCTTTTCTACAATATTTGTGTGATTTTGCTTATCATTGCTCGCATCGAAGTTTGTAAGCTTCTGGGTTTCAACCCTCACTTTTTCAACTAGGTTCTTCAGACAGTTATAGCTAACCGTAGTCAAACCTTGCTGAACTTAACATTATCAAGTTGGAAATAAATTGTGATTTTATCTAATCTAACTTCAACATAAGGATAAGTTGAAGTTTTGAAAGATTGTAATGAAGGCTGCATGAGTGGAAGTGTGTCTAACATTTTTACTAGGACAAAACCTTACACAGGACATAGAATCGTAGAATAATAGAATGGTTTGGATTGGAAGGGATCTTAAAGATCATCCAGTTCCAATCCCCCTGAGAAGGGCAGAGACACCTTCCGCTAGACCAGGTTGCTCAAAGCCCCATCCAACCTGGTCTTTAACACTTCCAAGTATGAGGAATCCATAACTTCCCTGGGCAACATGTTCCAATGTCTCACCACCAATAAAAAATGTCTTCCTTATATCTAATCTAAAAGCCATTACCCCTCATCTTATCACTACATGCTGTTCTAAAAAGTCTCTATCCAACTTTCTTGTAGGACCCCTTCAGGTACTATAAGGTCTCCCTGGAGTCTTCTCTTGTCCAGACAGAACAACCCCAACTCTCTCAGCCTGATTAGCTCCAGCTCTCTGATCATCTTTGTGGACTTGCTCCAACAGGTCCATGTCCTTCTTATGTTGGGGGCCCCAGAGCTGAATGCAGTACTTCAAGTGTGGTCTCACAAGAGCAGAGCAGAGGGGAAGAATAATCTCCCTCAGCTGCTTCTCTTGATGCAGCCCAGGTTATGGTTGACTTTTTGGGCTGCAGGTGTTCATTGCTGGCTCAAGTTAAGCTTCTCATCAACCAACACTCCCAAGTCCTTTTCCTCAGCGCTACTCTTGATCCATTCTCCACCCAGCCTGTATTTGTGCTTGGGATTGCCCCTACACAGGTGCAGGACCTTGCACTTAGCCTTGTTGAACTTCATGAGGTTTGCATGAGCCCACTTCTTAAGCCTGTCAAGATCTCTTTGGGTGGCATCCCTTCCTCCAGTATGTTGACCACAGCACACAGCTTCTTGTTGTTGGCAAATGTGCTGAGGGTGCACTCAATCCCGCTGCCCATGTTGCCAACAAAGATGCTGGTCCAAATACCAACACCTGAGGAATGCCACTCATCACTCGTCTCCACTTAAACATTAAGCCGTTGACTGCAACTCTTTGAGTGCAACCATCCAGGCAATTCCTGGTCTACCTGTTAAATCTATGTCTCTCCAATTTAAAGACAAGAATGTTGCGTGGGACAGTGTCAAATGTTTAGCACAAGGCCAGGTAGGTGACATCAGAACAGGGAATATTGAAACATTTTTATCAAATAAATGCAAGATTAGACTTTGGCATAGTGGAAAATGATAATTTGTTCTTAACAAATTCATTTCACATCACAGTTATTTTTTGGTTTTTTTTTAGGCATCACTAGAATTTCTTTTCAAACTATTGTGAATTAACAGGAAGATAGATTGGAAAAATGTTGGTTAAAGATATCAGTCAGGGCAAGAAGGTAATTTATGTGAAAATACTTGTCCTGTTCTTTTCTACAAAGAGCATGGAGCTATAGAAATATAGCAGAATATGTATAACTGAGTATTTTCATCGCTAATTTATAGGGAACAGAGCATTGCACAAGGGGCAAGGTCAATTAGATCACTAACATTCTTTTTATTTATTATACAGTCCAGTAGATCTCACTGCAAAGAAGTTCACCCAGTGTTCATGTACCAGTCAATGTGTTGTACTAAACAGTATATTGCAACCATATTTGTCTCTCAGCTCTAGCATAAACAAGTAGGGGTTTTAATGCCAAATTCTACTCCAAGAGCAAGTATTTCTCCAGTAGTGAGTTTTTTTAAAAGCACAGAGAGATTTCCTTTAAAATCTGCTGTTAGGTAAAAGAAAAGTGAACCCTCTCTAGAGCGTGAAGACCTTCTGCAGCAGTCTTTCCACTGAGGATTCCTTTGGCAGAAAAGATAGTTCAGCAAGTTTAGGGCTGGTATAGCCTCTGCTGAAGGAATGATTGATTGATTGATTTGAACTGATCAGAGGAAGATGAGCCTACCTGCTGGAATTAGTCCTTCAGAACTGCTGCCATGTAGCAGGCATGAGAGCTAGCCTGAAATTTAAACTTCTGTGCTGAGGTCATCTAGTGTAGCAGCTTCCAGGATCAGAGTTAGCACTGGAAGATGAAGTAAAACACGCTTGTGTTTTCAGTACTATGTGTGAAGATCAAAGTCATAGTAGTGATATTTTTCACTCCTTTTACATCAAGGTTTCTGTACAATCCAAGTTTGGCAACGCGTTAATTAATATGGTCAGAATTTTTTTTTATAAACCCCTGATTTTATCTTTTACCATGTTCTTAAGAAAACAGTGTCCCTCTAACAAAACTTTTTGTATACTTCTGCTACTGGAGTAACTTGTCAAAGTGAGGTCAACTCACAGTGGAGCAGGGAATTTTATGGGGTTTATTTTCTGAAATTTTTTGCTGCAATAGTTGCATTCAGAAAATGGTTGAGTTTAATAGTTTAATTATGCAAAAAGAAATGGTTTTCATAACTCCTCCCACTGAGCATTCTCTCTCTCATACAAGACAGCGTCAGAAGGAACTGTGCCTTAGTCTTCAAGGTTATATGTATAATTTAGTTGAGATTAATTTGGCAGAAATATTCAGTTAACTCTAAAATAAGCCTCTGACTATTCTGTTCAATGGTTTAAATTCCGTCTATCTAAGAGAGACATCTATAACTTTATGCCAAGGAATATATGGATTTATTAGGAGCCTAGAGCTATCACTGTGGTAGGGGACCATGATTTAAATTAAACAGTATATGAATGATGAGAAATAACAAGGACAGCAAAAAGGTGCTGGTTTTAATCAGTAATGATAATATAAAATTACATGAAGCCAGACTTCATATGTTTTGTCATGCAGGCTATGCAGTTATTTTATACAGAAAAAATCAGGTGCATGAATGATAGAGTGATCAACGTCATCCCTTTATTCATTCAAGACAGAATTTTTATCTCTGTTTTTAACAAACTAATTCAGTATCTTTTCTGCAATGTTTGGAGACTCTAGCTCACATCATCCTCAAGTGTACAGGAATTGTAATTCTTGTACCTGTGTAACTCAGTGTCATATTACACCTCTCCTTTTTATTGAAAAAGCTTACAAAGTCATTATAAGGCATCTTCACATCAACAATCTTTCTTGTAATTTTGAAAATTAGATTACTATGTAATGGACAGTTGCTAATATGTACCCTGGAACATTTCACTTTGTTAATGATTCTTGATGTCTTGTTTTCTCACTATTTGGATTTAGCTCCTCTTCCACTCAGGTATATTGGTGTCCCTAAGCCTTTCTGAGCCACAGCTGGAGAAGGTGGTGATTGACAGGACCCTGGTGGGGAAGCTCATCTCTGACACCATCAGTGATGGTAATTACACCCACGTGCAAATCAATTGCCTACATTAACAATAGAGCAGAGAAACAGTATGTCAACAGGTAGACTAATTATTGCTACTGGGGACTTGCAAACACAACAAGTAATTGCATGTAAAGCCATAGTTAAAACCCTCAGGACTAAGAACACTTTAAGAATAATATTTAACATCAAAGTTTTCAGGCTTGTCAAATACTAAATGGGTTTCCAAAATTCAATTTCCTAAACGTTTTAGTCACTGTGAATATGCTGTTTGAACTTGTCCTGTTCATTTCATAAGTGGGAAAAAAACATTAGCCAACTAATTAATTATGTGCAATATTTACTATTAAAATACTTACGTTTTAGAAAAGGCTGGATAACATTGGTTACATTAAGGTGTTCTTTAGTTTTTAGATTTCCAGAATCTCACTATTGTTACTAACTAGTGACTGCTAAAGATGAAGTTTTAGTTTAATGTGAAAGAAAACTTCTGAAAATGTAGCAGTTTCCATCAGCTTTATACTGTGACTATTGCTTTTTCAATGTGTCTCTACAGAGCTCCACTGAGAACCCAACAAGGTGTCAATATCTTAGCATCTGCATGACTGAGAATATGGAATTTCTGTGCGAGCCAAATTACATGAGCATTGTCTTCCAAATTCTTAGAAAGATGACCCAAATTACATCCTTTTAATAAGAACGTACACTAGATTTAGCTTTTATCTTTAATGATTTATCTTCTTCCATACCCAGGCATCTATGGCATATTGACCTGGTTATTTAAGAAAGCTGCAATACTGTGTCCGTCTGATTCTTTTCTTATCAGTATGTTGTAGTTTAGTCTTGAAAAATAACATTAATATAACTTTATTAGCAGAATCTTTAGCATCAAAAAAATAACCCTAACCTCATTTTTTATCCACTAATTACACAGAGAGTGTAAAACACATTTAAAGTCTTGACTCCTTTTCTAATTCTTCACTTAAGTTGCTTAATTACTAGCTTAATCTCAGATTTTTCTGCCCTGTTTCCAGAGGGAGGATTTCATACTTTCAGGTGACAAAAAGTAGGAAAGCACAGAAGCTAAGTTTATGCTCAAGTTGAAGTTGTTTGTAGAACTTATTTTAAATACTCTTTTTTTAAAAAAAGTAGTAAATAATAAATATATAATTAAACTATATATATCTTGCCTTGCATTGGCTTAATATGTCATAAAAATATATTTTTAATAGTGCTGACTAGAAAAAGCATACAACTAAAGCAATAATAAGCCAACAAATATGTTTTCCTACAGTTACGCCACTCAAACTGCTGTAAGTAACATTATATAATGGTTTGTCCTTATTTTTATTTAAGAATTTCATAACCTTCATGTTTGGTACTACCCATATCTTAAGGTGAAACAGGACTGCTTCTGTTCAGTAAAAGCAAAACCCACAATAATTGTCATTGCAATACTTTTTAATGAACAACAAAAGAAGATACTTCTGTTACCTGCAAAAATGTGTTCAAAATACAACATTTTATACTGAACTATCCTTGTGTGAGAACCACAACATAATGTTATCCCAGAATAAGTTAACTTTAATCCAACATAGTCACATGTCTTTCCAAATCTGGGTTTGAATCAGGTTTATGATTATAAAGTTGGCCAAAAGAAATTTTGTATTTAATACAAGAAGTCTATATGAAAAAATAGTTCTTATTTTAACAAATATGTAGATGTAGAAATGGATAAGATTACAATTTGCGAAAATTATTTATGAAATATTGTAATACTAACTCAGAGTAGCATGCCGTCTTAACATTTGGAATAAAGGTCAGATTGTGTGCACAAAATACAGAATTGAGATTGCATTTATAATCCTCCCACCTCTAATAAAGTCCTCCTGATTTTTATTATTATAGGCAAAATTTAAAAATAAATTTAATTAGAAATGATAGAAAAAATGCTTTCCCAAAAGCATTATTTTATCACGATTTCTTTTTTTTTTCAAAAGCTAGTGTTAATGTTAGATTTCAAAGGCAATTATTTGACTTTAAACTTTTGCATACCAGATACGTCAGACCTGTGCCAGTACATGACTATTGGAAAATGAATCTGGTTGTTAATCAGACGAAATCAAAGGAAAGCCGAGTAGACAGTTTTCACTGCTTATATGTAAGACTAAAGTGTCAATCTACTTAAGGATATATAAAATACACTTAGGAATCTAGGATATCAGTTACAAATGCTTTTTCCCCCCAGGTGTTTGTTTGTTTGTTTGTTTTTAAATCCAGTTCCACTATATTTGGCACTTTCCTTTTAGCAGAGGTTTCTTAGTTTACTTTCTGAAAACAGCTCTCTAGCTTTACTTTAAACCTGATTCTCGTTAAGCATTCTTCAGTGATCTGGGATGAGTTACCCTGATGACTCACTTTATTCTCATACATCTCTTTACATGTGAGCAGTGCTTGAATAACTGAATATCACTTAGCAAAATTCCTAGATACTATTGTCTAATTAATTTTCATAATAAAATTAGTTATTTGCTTTTATATTGAACTATTTTCATCTAGCACCCCCTTATGATAACAGCGGGGTTTCCACTGCACTTTTCCAGACTAAGGGAGTCTGTCCCATCTTGGTTACCTGCATTGTTTGGGTACCCCCATGTGAAGCTTTCAACAGATTCATAAGTGCTCTAAAGCATAATCCTGTATGTAATGGCCTCCTTGGTGTCTGCAGCAGAACCCAGAACCTTATAATGTCAAAATACCTAATACACCTTAAGTACTAATTTGCATTTATCATCCTTACCACGAGCAATGCTGTATTAGGTGCATTTCCAAAATACTGGTGGATGTTACCGTAAGAAAAAAAAATTGAAGGCAGAACCAAGATGAAAATGAATGTGGAAGAGCATAAAACATATATTTGAATGTAGTGGTAACTTGATAGGAGATAATTTATTCAGGTTTATGTAATCGGAGTGCTCCCTAGGCTTTATTTCTCATTTCCAAGAAGGTCTGGGTAGGATAACACATTGATGTCTTTTAGGCGATTACAGAGGCTTCAGTATAATATTTTAAGACACTGTCATGAAAAAATTACTTTTGCAATGTCTCAGTGGAGGTTTCAGTAATTCGTTTTGTTACTAGAAAGAGGTTTTACAGTGGAGACAATTTTTATTTGTTTTTCAGCTGTTCTTACAGACAATTTCATCATCTTGTCATTTGAGGACCATAACCAACTCTGCTTTATTCAGTTTACAAAGAAGAAGGATTCTCCTGATGTAAACAAAAGACTGGAAAAACTCTCATGTTTGGACTTTAAGGTATAGCTGTCAATGGTGACTGGAAATACTGCAGTAACTTCACATTATGAATCATTGATACTCGCTGATAATGTATAGCAGTGTAAATTGCAAACCTTTCTATAACTGATCAGAACAGCTCAGATTCTAAAAACGGTAGTTATTGAAAAGTAAAAAAAAAATTACATGGCATTCTGAGTTAATGAGTTAAAATATTGTGCCAAGAGGGATCCAATTTTCTACTGTATTTAGGTTAAGGGCTCAGACACACAGTTGAGTTACCCCTGCTTAACAGATTACCTTGTGTCAGTTGAGCAACAGTAACTGACCCTTTGCACATTCTCAACATCTAACAAGCATGAAGCAAAATCTGTAATGGTAAACCTCAGTGTAAAAGATTTAAGCTAATGTGTTTTACCTCTTGTTTGCTGTGGGCTAAGAATGCACGCATGGTCAATTACTGTGGTTCAGCTGACATACATGAACTCATGAAGCTATGATAATTCAGTCATCTGTCTGAGCTCCAATACTGTTGTAATTCTTTGCAGAAATCTTAATTTTCCCTCTAGTTACAGTAATCGTATTGTTGGGAGAGTTGGCTTTACAGTTAAGCCACTGAGCTAGGTCTCAAGATACAGAAGCTGAGTTTCTCACCACTGACAAACTGTGTGTCACCTTAGGCAAGTGACTTGGTGCCTCTGTATCTCAATGCACTACTTCACTACAGTGAAGGTTAAAATACTCCTTTTTTCCCTGCCCTTTATGTGTGAGTGTGTCTATACCACAGTCACAGCAGTAGCTGAAAGGTAGTGTAGAGATAGCAGAGCTGGCTTTAAACTGGCCAGTTTGGTTGTCAGTAGAAACCAGCTCATCTCAAACTGAATTATACTGTGTCTTGGATGGACTGGGCTGTGTAGACATAACTGATTTTGACCATAAGCTCTTTGACATCAGTGCAGTGGCTGACCTTAGGTGGAAGTGCTTGGTGCTATAAGACTAGGAAAAAATGGTCAGGCAAAGCTAATTAACTTTGAACAGGCAGAGCAGGAACTGGGCTGCATCCAATTCACTGCAAGAATGAAGAAAAGCCAAGCCTTTGCCCAAGAAAGTTAGAAAGATATAGTAAGCAAAAGAGAGAGTTTGTATTTATTTCAGACTGGATAAATGTTAAGGAAAACAATCTTGTGCTAGCAAATATTTTCTCCTTCACAACCCCTCAGTAATTTGCTTCCTCACATAAGGGAGTTTGCATCTGCAAAGCAAGCTTTTTAAGGATGTGTTTAATTTAAGTTTTGCCGTATTACGTTTTAGCTTGCTTGGTTGAAATACTTTCTGCTAGGATGAATATCTAATACATTTTCCAGGCTGTTTCAGTTCAGGGCCTCTTTTCAGCAATGACTTGTGTTTGCGAGATTGATCCAACCTCTATAACATGGATTTGAGACAGTTCACTGTTCACCAGGAACTGAGCTGATACATAGTTTACTTTAAAATGATGTGCGCTTGTGTCTAGCCTATGGTGTTTGTTAAGGTTGTGCTTTGGAAGCAAGGGTGGTGTGTGGTGTGCTGTGGTGGGTTTTTTTTTTAATAGCTCTAAACTTTGACAAAGAACCTGTGGTGAGCTGAAGACTTGCCTTCATCATTTAATTGTGAGGGCCATAGCTCCTTTCTTAATTCGTGTTTAGAAGATATATTTTCATTCTGGGTATTGCTGGGCACATTTTGGATCTAATGGCTATGACATTATTTTCTTGGGAAAGAAGGAATGCCTAATCCATAGAAAACTCTCTCTGCCCTCGGAAACCAGAAATATCTGCTGTACTCCTTAATAAGGTTGTTATATTCAGTTCTTTGCTGACACAGCTGAGCATCTAGAAACGCCTCCATGTTCAATGTTAACTTTGCTTTCTCTTGAAATCAGTGGGAATCACTATGGATTATTTCTTTGCCAGCCAAAAAAAGGCATTTGCATTTTTTAATTGAATGTTCTTTTGTGTGAGGCTTGCTAGTCAGGCAGCTAAATATAATTTTTATTATCTTCAAAATTGCACCAGTGTGAGCTAGCAGAAAGTATTATTCACTACTGCAATAATATTATGTCAGCTCTCTGCATTGAATTAGAGTTCTTCATGGCTGCTTTTGGTCAAACTTAAAAAAAGCTAAAAGATCACAGAGTCAACAGTACTATCGCTCTCAGCAGTAACAAAAGAAATGAAAGATGGTCCTCAATTGCAAATATGCAAACTTGTAATACACTTTAGAAAAAACAGTTCCATAGTGTTGATTTTTTTTTTGTAGAAATGAATTAAAAGGTAGGTTGCACTGGTATAAAGCTACCACGGGATTAAAATATGGAGCTAGGATTCAGGAAATTTGAGTGTAGCCTTCATCTCTGCCTCTGACTTTTGGTGTAGCCTTGGTAAAGGTATGTGGTATTTGGGTTTAAATCCCCATTTCTAAAATGAGGAAAATGCTTGCTTACAATCATATGTAACGACATCGTTAAATTTCTGTTGTATTTATATTGTAATTTCTTTGATACCTGGAAAGAAGCAACTTCACATTGTTCACTGTCCAACGGCATGGTGGGAAAAAATGGCAGTATTAGACTGCCAGAGCGCTATTAATAATAAGAACAAATCAACCATGCTTCCCTCCTCATAGTGTGGTATTTATCCAAAAGTTGGGTTTTTTACACAATACACCTAATTCTTTTATACATAAATACCTAATACTTTCTCTATCCTTGTCCTTTCTAAATAATACCACTGTGAATTTTATTTACACTGTGATGAAAGAAAGGAAGACTTGCTGTATGAATCACTACAGTCTTGAAGACCAGCAAAATATAAAAGCAACTATTATAATTTGCCTTTTCTCAGTGGCATTAGTCCATGTTTGAAAGTGCTATGTCTAATGCAAGACATAAAAGTTTACAAAAGATTTGTGGCTGTTATTATGTGTGAAATTGTTATGAACAGGTAACACTGCAGTACAGCACTAATTAATCAAGTATCAGCTACCTGTTAACTTATGTTTTATCTTTACACTTCTGAAGAGTATTTTGACAAGTAAAACATAGGATATTCTCAAAATACTGACCTTTTGCAAGTTTTTCCCATCTGTGGCTTTTTTAATCCATTTCAATTTACTGAAGGAAAAGACAGTACAAGGAGTTAAATGTTTACCATGAGAGAACAACATTGGTAATTACTTTGATTTCAGTTCCTTTTGATGTGTATTCAGGGGATGAAGAGGTCAATAATATTATGACCATGCAAATAGAACAGGGTTCTTTTTGACCATATAAAAACCAGCAAAGGATTATTAAAGCATTAACCTTGATTTTAATGGCCTTGGTTGAGTGGTGAGATCACAATTTGGATGAGCCTGATTATTTACTAAATACAATACATAAATGCAACGGGTTCTTAACACCCATTGCACTCTGGCATTATCGCATTACTGCCATCCTTTGTTGCCTTGCAGACAGGAATATGAAAGCAATCTGTCATGTAGTGAGACTGGCTCCAGAAGCATTTCTCTGATAAGAAGACCCCCTGCCCTTTGCTAGTGTCTGGTCCAGTAGGCTTAGCCATGCGCTTAATCCCCAGAAAGTGGTTCGATTATTGCTGACCAGCAATGGCAAGATAGTTGTTTTTTTTTCCCCTAGCTATCAACCTTCCATTAATTCCTTAAGCAGAAATGCAGTGCAATCTATATTTCCTTGGCATGTGTCACCCAGATGGTACACTGCTCATGTTTTCAAATAACCATTCTCCAAAATAACAGAGTTTGAATAATAAATTCTACAAATCCTTCCTGAGAAAGAGGCACAATTCTCAGGAGCTGCATAAACTTTACGCCTGATGCTGTAGCTCATCCACATTATGCAGAAAAGTATATATTCTCTTGCAAAGTGGATATTTGTATCTGGGTTCCTTAATTTAGGGAGGAAAAAGAAAGATATATATTTGCTCAAACATTGTAGAATATATTTAATGTTTGATTATGTCTTAAACACCAGCCCCAGCTCCCTGGTCAGCTTTGCAGAACTTGTCATTTAATATGGCTAAGCTTAAATCCTATGTGTAGGTCGATGCTGTCAAGCAACCATGACTGTACATTTTGGTATTGATTGGAGTCATTGCAGTAAATTCCTTCTTAGCTCACATTCCTTTCCTTCCCAATCCTCTCCCCATAGATAAAAGTGTAAGCGTGTCTTTTTCTGTCTGAGGAGATATTTTTTAGATTTACGGACAGCCTACATGAAGATATATGTATGTAGTCCTCTCTCTATATATATACATTCTCTTTCACGTATCCAAAGTTAAATGCTCCCTATTGCTCCTACTATGCTGCTATTTTATCACCTCAAATATTTCCTGCATTTTTTCTTCCATCAGATTTCTTATACTGATATTCCTGGACCAGAAAGTAGAAGAATGAAACGTCACCTGGCAATAAACTGTATGCAAGATATGGTCATTTGCTGGTGGTCAACAACTAGTGATGGAGCATGGCCTTGGTCTCCTATTTCCTGTGAGAGGGACAGAGCCAACCTATTGCTATTAGGCTGTGCACATGGCAAATTGGAGGTAAAGTGCTGAACTCTCTACATGATTTTTCAGATTTGCTAAAGAAATAACTGTTCAACTTAAATGCATATTCAGGTAGGTATAAAGAACAGATGTGATAAAAGCATAAGACAGAAAGATCAGCCATTCTAATCTTAAAAATAAAGGTTTGTTAGTTAACGAAAAAAGCACCTTATTTAGTATGTTTACTATTTTCACTTCAAAACTGGCAATCTGAGAAATGTAGCAAGGAAGTTAGATGTTTATAATGGAATAGCTTTGGAGCTGCTAACACTGAAAATAAAAGTGTCAGAATATCTCTAGAAAATTCTAATCTGAGTTAGAAATTGTAGCTGTTGCATGTTTGTCTAATGCAATTATTTTACATTGTCTGCAATGTTAACTGATAGGCATTTTACATCTATTTTAAGTGTTTTATTATAAAATTTCAGCTACTCCCAGATGCTGCTTAAATTGTTGCTATGTGTATCGATCAATTCAGGGACCAATTTTTTTCCTAAAGAAAAAGTCATAATTCCCCATCTGCAGGTTGAACAAGTTAGAACAAGGCTGTAAGCAGACTATCTTCCTGACACTTGGTTAACTTACATTTTTTGGCAGATGTTTCTATTTTATTTTTATTTCATCTATTTAAGAATATTTGAATCTAGTTTCTTATGTTAGTTAAAAACTTATAAACTAAGCTAGCTGAGCATACTCTGAAAAGAACTGGGGACAGAATTTAAAATGTGAAAGCTGTTCTGGACTAGCATCTTTTGTAGGTGCTGCTGTGGTTGGAGTTTTATTTTCAGGTTAGCTTAAGCCACTACTAATATGGCCTAAAAAGGCACTGACTGGTGAAGAAGAGCACAAACCTGAGAATCAGCTGTGGAATAGCTGTTCTGGAGTAGCTATTACAGGCTATTTCCCTGTAGGGAGAAACCCTAAGTAACACTTTAGAATAAGCCGCTTTTATAAACAACATCCTGTTCTCTTTAATTAGGGAAGATGTAAATGTTTTAATGTCTTGGAATTATTACTTTGATAACTAATATTAATTTCAGTGAGGATTTTTTTTTCCCTTGGGATTTTCTATATATTGAAGGCAAAAGAGAAAAGGCAGTTAAAACAGCTTTTATTTTGTATTTCAGTCATTAGTCATTGTAGAATTAAAGTTTATATTACCTTCAGTTCTGCCTTTATTTCTTTTCAATTGACCTCTCTCCACTAGTGGTCATCTTTGACTCACCTCTCTCCTTTGCCTGATATACACCTGCAGTTCTCAATTTCCCCTGCAACTATGCCCTATCACATATAAAAATTACTCTGGTAGCTAAAATGTGCATCTGTTCTTTGTCATTTTTTTCAGCTTGGTCCCTGTGCCATCTTACTAACATTTCAGGTCTTATTTCTTACCATGACTTATGTATGTCCAGGTTCTGGCAGTGACATTCCCAAACCACCTTGTCAATTTAAAGCTCTCTCCATTTAATTTTATATATTATAGGGTTCTTTCCAAATTACAGCAGTGCTCTGCATCTTTCAATACACCTTCCTTTATCCTTTTCTGGTTTAGACACTAAATTGCTCAGGCTGAGGCTGTCTAGTATAGTCCCAAGCACACACTAGTGCTTAACACAGTAATGATAATAAGTATTCACTGAGCCTTTAGGCCTAAACTCATAATCCTTTTAATTTCACCCATATTGCAATATATATATAAGAAAATTATTTTTAAAATCAGAAGTGCAAAATTTAACTGTTCAGTTGCTTTCTCTTTTCTAATTCTGTGCCTGTACTTGTCTGTTTTAATTCTAAGATCTTCAGATGAAATTTCTTTTCCTGTCTTTGTCAATAAAATGCCAAGCACTATGCCAGGGTAATGGAAAACTTTGTCATACATAGATAACAAACTGTCTTGCTGGTTGTCAATTAGTCTGTTCCATGTAGTTATATCTTGGATGCTCAGTGGGCTGTTGTGTAAGGCTCAAGACAATCTGCCTATACACTTCTCCTATGTATTCATGACATGTAACCTATGGTACTGTTGGGCTTTTTTGTTTTGTTTTGTTTTGGTTTTTTCCTTGATTTCTCTAGCACTCCTTATGGGTAGTAGTTAACCCAGCAGCTCTAGAAGTAGCATCCATTCCCAATCTGCTATTAACTGGGGAACATTTTTCCCCTACAGAGTCTTGAAGGGGAACTTTAACTTAATACCTTTAACTTCTGAGAGTCATTTGATAGCTTAAACATAAGTAAAAACATTGTTAGAGTTTCTAGACAGCTTCTAAACAGTTAGTCTCTATGTCAGCTACCACAAAAATACAGTGTTTCTGTAAGTGTGCTTATTTGCCTCTCTTTGCCTCTACTCCCTTACCATTTGTAGTGTTCCTCGGGTATAGACCTGGAATAAAAACATGACATGCCATTGCTATGCATGAAAGTAAATCCATATTTATAATTTTTGACCAATAATACAAAATTTCTCCCAGTAAATTATTATTATCAACAGAAGAAGAATGAGAAGCATGAACTGCTTCAGTTTGGAGCATTTATCAAAAAGAAGTGTAGTAAAGTAATACCACCGACATTTTAACTTGAAGATAATAGTATCACTTGGATAAAACAGCATTATTATCTAGAATTAAGAGAAAAGCAGGAATTGTTGTATGTCTAGCCCATGAAGAGCTGTTTGACATATTGGGCTTGTGAAAGAGTAAATCAAGCCTGAGGAAATGAAATGGATGCTACCCACAGCCATTCTACAGCACCTTGGTGCTAACCTACAAAAACCACAAAAAGTTCTGCCAGATACTAACACTCTTCTTGTTGTGGCAGAGAAAAGGTAAACGGGGCACTTAGGTGATAGTGCTTTGTCCGTGGAAGAATTTTCTGATTGATATTTGCTGCCCACCAAAAGAGTGCTCATTAGGACGAGGTCAGGAATAGCTCTGGGACAAGGCAACTCAACCCCTCGTCATGATAATATCCTGTAACTACGTGTTCTGCATTAGGATGATTCACTTTGCACATACAGTGTTTGGGATATTGTGTACTTAAGCAGCTTTTCAATTTAATAGAGGAAATACATTTTACATTTTAAATGCACTATAAATTTTATTTCAATTGTACTGTGTGGCTTTATGTTTTAGCATTTGCTACTATTAAGGCTGAAGGTAGACATTATTCCTCTAAAACCAGAAAGAACTTTTTCCTTGCAAATCTTGACTTGTTTTACTCCCTTTTTTTTTTTTCTGAGATCAGTGTTTACTGTGTTGAATCCCATAAGATTTGGTGAGGAATCATCCCCTGAAGAAATAAAAGTGCTTTTCTCTTTAACATACGAATTTACTCTGGTGTGTAATGTACATTTATATACATGCTTGCATGTTGCTGCAGGAGTATTTGTCTGTTGAACCTTTGTCTGCTTTCTTGCGTGCATTGGTTTCCTCCAGTAAAGTCATCCATTCTCCAATTTATTTATTTAATTATTTGGGGTCGGTTTGTTTCTTGTTTGTTAAAGTACCAATGATCGAGGATGTTATTTAAATTGTCTCCCTGTGGAGATAATGCTGGTATTTTGATTTCAAAAACAGAAGAGGAATCTTCCAAAGATCATTTCAAACAATTTGTTATGAATAAAGAGGATCCAATGTCAAATCATCCTCGGATTAAACACCTTGAGAGAAAGTCATGTTAAAATCAACATGAACTTTATTCTGCAAACATAAATTAACAGGAGGTGATGTTGCCAGGGCTCCATTACTGTAGTACTTTGCATTTGTCTTTGCCATGTTTATTTTCACTCCATTTACTCCTAGTGTGAATCACTGAAATTATACTTCAATCTTGTGGAAAAAGTAATTTGCCTGAGAGAGAATATTATTTTTCTTTCTCCCAAGAGATAATATTTAAAATAGTTATTGCTCCCACATTGTGCCTCAAACTTGTGAAATAAATACAACAGATCTTTTATGAGTGAGCTATCCTACAATTACTATAGCACTCTGAAAAACATTTACAGTGTGTGACTGAATAGCTGAAATACCTTTCACACACATAGAGCAAAGAATGTAAAATGTCATATTGGGTTAAAAGTTCAATGAATAATACGGCTTAAAGATGATGATGATAAATTTTGAAAGAAAATAAGAATAAATGTTGGCTGAAGTTCTCAATAATAAAGTTGTGTGTGCCTCTGTAAATACAATGCGGTGAAATAAGTAACCTAGCGTAGGAGCCTTGCATTCTATTTTAGAAATGTTTAAAAATAGTTTGGGTTTGTTTTTCTTTCGTCTTCACAGTGCTGCATTTAAAACTGTTTTACTCTAGTGTGCACTACACTTCTCACTCTACATTTTTAATTAAAGTGTTTGTTGTTATTTGGAGCCTCACTGTGTGAAATTAGATAAGTGTTTTTTTAACATCCATAAAATAAATCAAACATTTTTCTCATCTGAAAGACACACAGTTCAGTCACAGCAAGCTTATTTCTCTGTTTCTTTTGTTTTCGTTTTCTATCTCCCTGGTAAGCCAATTTTCTGCTTAAGAACTGCTGGTTAAAACTCTTGTATGTTTTGATATGTGGATTTTTATCCTTTCCCACCACTCTATGCAAAATACTTCAATTTTAAGTGTTCAAAGATTTGCACTGAGAAGAGTAATACTGCCCACACAACCTAGTGCTATTATTTCTTTCAAACATAAAATGAAAAAAGGTATTTTAACTAGCATAATTATAATTCAGGCCCCTTATTTACAAAGATTATCAGATTTCTTTACTTGGATTGTTATGATTTCTGACTCTAGGATTTGAGAACTTGACATATATAGTATCTCTTGTACTGCTGACTAGCTGGTGCAGAGCACAGGCCAGTACTACAAAGGGAAAATAATAAAAAAGTACAATAGCGGTGCGTGACTGCCACATTAATAAGGGAAATATGTATAAATTATGTGGACAATATTTAAATGCATTTATATTTTTGTAGTGTCCATGTCACAAAACTAAAAGCAACTTTTAATTTTTTATTATAGTTTAATTATTTATTTATTTTATAGAAAGTAATTGGTTTTACTTCATGGAAAGTACTTCCAGAGATCTTCCCTTGAAATCCAAGGCTAAGTGCTTAGTCCAAGATTTATGGAACGCACTTAGCATTGGATGGGATTATACTCCCCGTCATGTGATATTACGGCTCTGTCTTTTTAGATCTGTTGCCCTATCTCCTCCTCTGCAAATCTTACAGTTGTCCTACCAACTTCTGAGGGAACTCCTCCAGCTTTTGCCTTGCCATTCCCCAAGCAAATATTTTGTTAACTTAAAGATATATTTTTATTTTAATGTTTCCCCTTAGGGTTCCAGAGAGATACTGCTCACCAGGAAGGAATCCCAGTGGATTCCTTTAAATGGACTGCTAAAGCACTATGTGCTCTACATTTACTAGCATGTGACTATTCACCAGGTAGAAAAACAATTGGCAGCTAAAAGAGTACCATCCTCTTGGAAAAAAAAAACCATGTTTAGATTGTTAGACTTATTATTTTTCATAAACATTATCTTAGCCTTATTAACATGTTTCTGTAGTCCTATGTCTCTCTGCTTTGGTTTTCCAGTTAGCAGCATGAAGAATTAAAAATAAAAAAGTCATTTAGAGAAACTCAAATCTTCCCTCTCAGATGAAAGAGAATAACCCTTCCCCCCCCGCCCCCTGCCCCCCCCGCCCTTTCAAACTGCAGATACCAGTTACATTCAGCAAAACTGGAAACCAGAACAAAGAGGTCTCTCAGCTTGATACTCTTCCTCCAAGAGGCACATGAGGCCACTGATGCATGAGAAGCAGCTTATCTGTTCCAATCTAAGGAGAAATGTTTCTCTTGTTTTCAGCCAGAATATGAACAGTGGTGTCTAGAAAAGTTTCATTTAAGCCTAGTTTGTTTAAACATTATGTCAAAACTTATGTATTGAAATGCAGCAAATGGTCTTTCTCTTCTCACTGAAACTTTTTCCTAGTTTATAGAATCGCGTTATATACAGCAACCAGCCTTACCCTAGACTTCATTTCAAGGATTTGCTTTCAAAATTATATGAAGCTAGGAAGCTTCTCATCTCAAGACTCATTAAATTAGACTTCCAAAATATAAGATTTTACTTTCTTTTAAATTCAAAGTAGTGAGCAACATTTTGTCCCACTCTTGCTCTAACAAGGCAGAACAAAATTATTAATTGGATTTGGTTTGCTTGCTGACTCTCAAATGATCAGATGACATTTATTTTTCTGTGACTATTTCCATTGCTGTTTTGCAGCAGTCACTCCTATGGAGTTGTAAAATCTATGTTTCACATGGTTTCTTCTCTATTGTCTTAACCTTCAAGGCCAGTCTCTCTTCAGAATTTAATAGTGCTTTCAGTCTTTCATCTCTCATAGGCTTGATCATTGTGTGGATATTCATGACTTTCTTGTAGCTTGTGAAGGGATGTCCAGAGAGGAACATTGGTTTTGGATCAAAATATGCAGATGAATAATGCAGTGCATTGGAACCTGCCACAGGAAGACAGAAATCTGAGTCCCAGAGGGCCTTAAGGCTCATTTCACTGAAGTTATGGAAGCTTTGAAGGCTTGCTTGGACAAGATTCCTATTACACATATTTGAAAGGCAGCTACCTGGGTCTCTGTACATACTCTTAGGGAAAACTTCAGAGCAAACAGTAACACTTCATCTTGTCTTTATTTAGGGTTAGAGAGCTCTGTAGTCACAGTCATTCTTTGTCCACAATAACCTCTTGTACAGGTTTCCTTGCTATGCAATTTAACACCATAATAAGCTACAGATTTCAGCGGTTCTAACACCTGCACATTATCCACTGCACATTTTGCGGGCAAAAATGACTAGTTGCAGAGCCTTAAGTCATTGGTGAGGGAACTGTGGAGGTGAGAAAGTGTTTTTTCAGACTAAATAAGTAATTTAATGTTTTATTTCCTCATTGGTATGTATTTTCATTGATCTCGACTCTGTTGAAATTAGTTTACCTGGTTTTCACAAGTTGGATGCATTGGCTTCTGTATTAGATGCTTTTGAATTAAGAGGTTCTTTGCATGTCCCTAACTACTCATCTTAAAAGTAGATAAGACTTTTATATTAACTGGTAGCTGGTTTGCAGCCATAGAATTGCAATAATCCTTTTTTCTTTCTTTTGAATAAGAAACTCTTTTGCTGACAAAATAAGTAAACTGTCAGAACAAAACATCCTAGTCAGTCTCATCAACATCCCAAATAACTCATAAATTCATCAGTTGCTTCTGAAGTAATGGGTGTTATGCAAAAAAAAAAATATCCTCCTTTGCAGGATAAAAAGTTAAATTATATGTTCATCTGGCCTTGTGATCTGTGGAAATCAAATTTAAACTGCTTTAACATTATGTGTGCATTTCTGTTTTCAACCTGAAATTTCTAGATTCCCTCCCTCGCCCTCCCTCTGCCTTTTAATCACATTTGTTACCCCTTTCTGTGTAAATGGTACTTGCAAATCACCTGGACTCAAAAGAAGGGGCTTCCAAAATTAGTGGCAGGTCAGCAGCTTTAGTTTCTAGTGTGAAGAATGTGATGGGTATACCTGAGGGCTGGGTTTGGCTCAGTTTGACATTTTGCTTTCACTCTTTATTTCTGCATGAACAAACACCAGCAAGTTTCTGACTGACTTCCACTACTCATTCTTCTAGAGACATTGGTTTTCTCGCTCTTTCAGAGAAATAGCTTTTCATAAACTAATTTGTAAGTTATTTTCAGCTGGTATTTCTCCCCCAGTTTCCCTACTTGAGTCCTGTACACCACCTCTCACTCAAACTATGTATTACAGGAAAAGAATCTTCATTGGTCTCCACTGTTGCCTCCATCACTTTATGGTACTTACCATGTTTTCTCACTACAGAGTCTTGCTTTTTGTCAGCTGCTTGCTTTGTATCATATTCTGCCTTTGTGTTCTTCTTTCAGTTCATTCAACCTTCAGGTACCCCTAAATGGTCCCCCTTTCCTGCTATCACAAATTCATTTATTCTGCATCTAAAGCTACATGGCACCAAACATCTACCACCTACTCATTTGGCAGTGTATAGTATACATTGTTTAAACATGCCATTGTTTCCACCACTACAGTGTAATATTTTCTGTTACCATGGCCCAGAGCAAATGATAAAAAATCCTGTGTGTGATGCTCAGAGTAACCTATGATAAATTTTTACAGAAATTTTGGGACTTTTCTTCCACCTCACTTGTGAATAGTCAGTTATTTTTTTATATCAGTCATCACTTCATTTCTTTTCTTACCAACACTGTTGGGACCATCCCCTCTTTTATATTCTATTCTAGTAACTCATTATGTAGTCTGGACAAACAAATATGGCTCAAACTATATTATGGGGTATTTTTATTGAATTAATTAACCTTTTAAGAGTTAAACCAGTAGATTTTACAACTCCATTTCTAAAATGCATGTTTGTTTTAGCTCACTGACTCATGAGAAAGCGTATCTATTTTTTAAATCATCAAAGGAAGAATAAATTGTTATAAATTACTACCAAAATGTTTTGGATTTTTTTCAGGTTCTGAGTTATGTCCGTACAGAATGGGATCCACTCAATGCTAGCTTCAGCACTAATCAGCCTTATCAGGTTTACACAGTAGAGCACTCTGTCTCTGCAGACAAAGAGCCTATGGCTGACAGCTGTGTTTACAAGTGTGTTAAGAACAAAATTCACTGTGCAGCAGTCACCAGAATACCACTACGATCCAAGGCCATCAGCTGTTGCAGAGATGTTACAGAAGACAAACTAGTCCTGGGTTGTGAAGATTCGTCAGTAATTCTGTATGAAGCCTACAACCAAGTGACTCTGTTAGCCCAAGCAAAGCTGTTGCCTGCTTTAATAACCTACCACCCTTCCGGAGCCATATTCATGGTTGGCAGCTCTCAAGGGGAGCTGCAGCTTTTTGACACAGCACTGTCTCCAATTAAAATTCAGCTCTTAGCACAGGACTATTCACCTGAGGCAACTCTGCAATTCAGTGAACACTTCAACGTGCCTAGCAGCCTCATCCAGATCCAGTGGGCTGCTCCTCAAGTTGCATCTGCCAGCTCTGATGGCACAGATATTCATGATCTTTTGTTGGTTAGATTCGACAAAGGACCCCTAGGAGTGCTTCACTTTAAACTTGGTAAGTTACTGAGCACATCTATTGAACCTTGAGCTTGCAAGGAAAAATCTGTGCCTCACAAGTTTTTTGTAATTTGAAAGCAGCACCCTCATTTTAGATATATGGGAGCATAGTCTTAAAAGCACATAGGTCCAATGATGTCTGAAGATGTGAACCAAGGGGTTCATTATGTTCCACAGTTGCTCAGGATCTTCTCCTGTGAGGTCTGACAGAATAGGACCCTGATCTGTTTTTGGATCAGCATTCCATTATGTTCCCTACTACTCTAATAAATATTTTTCATTCTATAGTATATAATTTTAGGAATTGTATTCATTCTTTATTAATACTTCTAACAAGCTAAAATAAGCTATTTTAATAATAGGATAGTAATGCTATTTTCATTCCTAAATTATTTTTTGTGTGTATGATGCAACTGTCCTTTCCATTATAATGTATATTTGTCCCAGTGCTCTGTTCTTCCTGACTTCAGAACATGAAGTTACACCATTTTTTTCCTTGAAGACTTTTCACACAAGAAGGAAGGTTTTCATAACCTTCAGAGAAGTTTGGTCTCTCGGTTAATTTGCCATAAGTTGTGAATAAAAGAAGTAATAATACTAATTTTAGAGTTTATATAGCACTTCTTATTTTAGGTGTAAAGAGACTTCAAGACAGTAAACCCATATCTTCATTTTACAAACAGAATAACAAGAAACAGTAAAGGAAAACTAAAAGGCTTTCCAAGAGTTATACAATGAGTCAGTAGCTGAACTAAGAATAAAACTCCTGCAGTTGCTTATCAGTGAGAACTGTATTCATTCTATTCAAGTCAGGCAAGTTCCAATGGTGCAAACCCACTGTGAGAGTTAAAAAAACAATATCATGCTTAAATCTTCTGAGTACCAGGCCAGTGTTTCAGCAGGGCAGACAGCCATGTCGAATATACTCATCCTGGTCAATTTCAGCATTTTGCCTATTGTCTGTCCAAAGAAACAGAATTGCCTTTGTAGATCTTTACAGGAGGTTTTTTCATTATTCTTTTAAATAAAGCTATTGAGACTAGGAAGAAACATTAAAAAAATAGGTGATAGTAAGGTTTGAAAATGTACTTTATTTCTTTACTGCTTGAGACATGCATGTGCTTTTGTGGGGAAAAATCTTGTCTAAAAGTACTGCGGACCAAATATTTGAAATACTGAATTTAAAAAACTTAACTAAGTATGCCAAACATACAAACATAAATTAATATAATTATTAATATTAATATTAATATGCAAAAACATAAATTAATATAATAGGATGTTAGCAACGAAAATGTTGAATTGGCTTATAGTTGTATAGTTTTAAAAGAGCTGATCCAGATTATTACTGTTATCCAAAAATACTATTAAAAATGTTTACAGGTTATCATTTAGTCTGAAATAATTTGGCTGCATTATGTCCAATGAGAGGTTTAATAGTTGCAGAGTACCCCAGAACACTAATTATAACAGCTATTTGATGTTTTTGTGCATGTTGGCCATTAAAAAAAACCCTCTAAATTACCTCTTACCTGTCAAGCAGAAGGCACTCTACCCACATCTACCTTGCTTTTCTTTAGTCCTCCCTTGTGGGGTTTTCTCACAACAGCTTTCCAGAAAGCACAGCATTCCCCTTGCTATCTTTAGCGCATTTATGTTCTTATGAAGGGAAGCAGGCTCTCAGAGCAGGGATTTAGAGGCCTTTCCTGCTAATTGCTAGCTTGTAAACTTAATTGGACTGTCTCCCTGGGCACCGTTCCTAAATCAATTAGGCAGTGAGTTGGCTGTCACCTCTTTTTCCCAAGCAGGTTGCCTGGAAGCGCACCACCCAGGAGACATCAGGCATCCAAATGGGAAGATGTTGACCTCTACGGCTGAAAGTTAACACATTTTAAAATTCATTCTGTATAATTACTGTAAAATCTCTTTTAGGAGGAAGCCAAATCTCTCTCTATCCCTCCCTCCCTTCCCCTTTGTAGTCCACTGTGCAAAAATATGCTGTTCTCTGTTGCATCCTGGTTTTCAGCTTTATCCCTCTTCTTCTCAGTTTGCCACACTACCAAGGTAATGTTGTGTTGATTACTCAGCCACTCTTCCCAACATCAGCAGTTTCTAGGTCTCTGCTATTTAAGAAATAATGCAAATATGAACTATATGGAAAATTTAGGGGTCTGTGACAGCAAAACCCAGACAGGCATTCAGGACTGAAATAAAATCCATAATTAACTCATGACTTGGATTTGTTTCTTGTAAAAGTCTATTAAGAACTTGAGATATTGCCTATTTCATGAGAATAGGCAAATATGTTTTTAACTTCCAGCTGACATATTATGGACAAGTTCTGTGAATTCTCCATTGTGCTGTCTCCCCAGATATGTTTCAGGAAAATATTAATATTAAATTTACCCTTAAACATTAATGGTGAATGTTTTGGTGTCTAATGCAAAACTCATTTTCAAAAGCATTGCAGCTTCTTGATCTCAACCCAGATCTTGGACAATACCAAAATTAATACTGCTGCCAATGGTTCAGCATTGCTGGCCTTAAAAGACATTTAAAATATAGTATTGTATTTAATTAGCATGTAAATAAGTATTTTCATCTTCACTTAGTGATTAATGTGAAGATTGCCCAACTTACATAACACTTTAAAAACACTAAACATTTAGAAAGATTATCAGTATTGAAATTCAGCTTGTTCCCTTTCTTATCTGAATTTTTTCCTTAAAATTAGTTTTGACAAACAACATCAGAATATAAATTGAGAAAATTTAAAAAACCAGTATGATTTTATTTAGAAAAAAGGGTAACAGTACATTTATTCTGATCTCTTTCTAATATCTGGAGCAGTAGTGATAAAGAATACTTGTGACCCACTGCACAGTGACCCAAAGCAAGCAAGAACTGCTAAAATGCCATATGTGGCCTATGTCACATGATCATACGGGTGGTCAGAGACAATAAATAACACTACTCTGCAGCTTTTCAGTCACCTTTTCTGTTTAGAAGCTGAGACCTACAAGTCAAGAACCATTGAGAGTCTTTCAATTTCTAGCTTTCGGAGACAAGAGTGTTGTAGGTAAAACATGTGCTCATGGAGTGAGCAATGTGTTGCTCATTTTTTTTCCTTATGGCAAGCATGTTCTTGGTTTCATGTGCAACTGTAATTCAGAGGTCCCTAAATGTTGATATCGTTAATGAAATCACCTCACAGAAGAATTGGTTCGCTTAAGAGAGTTATGCCAAGCTAGAAGTAAGTTCTAGAGCAATCAAGTAGCTGCTGCTTTGAAGTTTGAGCTGCTGTAAACTTGTATACAGAGGTAGATTTCTGTGAGAAAAATGCTGTTTTCTAGTGTTGTCCAGCAGTATTCCAGAAGGAGGTGCTAGGAACATGAATTTATTACCTCCAGTTCAACAATGATAAATTGGGAATAAGCTTTTTCTACCATGTTTAAAACAAACTTCATTACATGATATTGTCACTAATAGATATTGGCTACATTTGCTCAACCTCTGTGTGTGTGAAGTTCACTGATGGTTTTTCTCTAATGTCCAAAGCACCCTCAGTCTAAATGTAGCAAGATAATAAGGAGTTATCTAATGTAAAAATTTAATTGAAACCCATTAACTTAAACTTCCTAATTTTATCCAACAGCAATTATTTTTACCTGTGCTGAAAATTAGTCAGCTACTGGCTTACATACTTATAACACTATCTTTGGTTTTAACATTTCCTGTAAAAGGTGTGGTCACAAGAGGACAGCTGGGCCTTGTGGAAATCATCCACCAGTACATTCTTTACAATGAGATACATGAGGCAATTAACATCCTGAACACCATGAACTGGAACACGATGGGTCATCAGTGTTACATATGCTTGAGTGCCATTGTCAATTACCTTCTTAAACAAAAGCTTACACCAGAAAGAGAAGGTAAGGGACTGATGGTATTTTAATGTGTTTTTGTTCTGTTATTGAACTTCATATGTGAATTATGACAATATATTGACTTTTTAAAGAAGACAATAGTGAGAGTGCAGGCAGTCAACCAGATTATGGTACTCCGTAATCAAATGTCATATGTAAACAGGTAATTTCAGTAAAATCTGGATCAATGTGTTGATTGCATTTTAGTTCATTTATAGCAATAGCAATAGTAAAACAATGCAATATGTTAATATATATATCGTATGGGCATGACTTAATATATACAGCATTATTTTATATTTGCTGTAACTTTATTACATTATGTAAATTTAGCTTATATTACAGACTAATGGTAGTTAATATATGTCAAATGTTTGTTATGTATTCATACTGAGACGGCACCAACTTAAGGAGGGACATTTTCCTGCAATGGGGACAAGAGATTTTAGTCTGGTTTTTAAGGTGCTTTTGAAGGGTCATTCTTTCATTACAAGATCCGAAAGCTTTGAATACACTATCCTCTGCTGCCTCCTTTAGGATTATAGCATTTGTCCTCACTGTAATCTTCTGGCCCCCTGCAGTAGTAGCTGGGTTCCCTTACAAGAAACGATGAATTTTAGGTTCCGCCTCATCTCTGCTGAAGCCTGGTGTGATGCCTTCCTCTTGATTTGCTGCCTATCTGGAAACTTGATAGACTTCAAGATTTGAAGTGTCTTGATTTAGGGAAGGTGTTATCCTCCAGTCTAGCAGGCAGACAGCTGGGGACCAGACATCTTTTGTGGCAAGAAAGAATACTTAGGATTCTGGTGTGTTTGATGATAGAAAAACTCCAAGGTGTCCTACGTTGCTGCCAAGCCATCAGCTATCCCATCTGGGGGGGATCTGATTGAAGAAATCTCCGCACTGCAGACATAGCATATCAGTTCTAAATAATACATGCTTTTAAAAGGACCCCTGAAAAGGGCTGTTTTTCAAACTCTCGTAAAAATATGCACATTAAAAATAAGATGTCTGTGTGTTTCCCCCTATGCAGCTCCCTAACACTGTTTACAGCAGACGGAATTTAATTCTGTCCAGGAGTTATTCTATATGAATCTAACAAATTTGGAATGGTAATTTGTTTTCTTTTTTATTAGCAAAACCCAGTGGGGCCTTTTATTTATAGCAATGGGTCAGTTATCTTTGAGATCTTTATTCTGCCTTCAACATCAAGCTGAGCTATCTAATGAATCTATAACTGTGCTAGTAGTTACTTGTATTCCATGCATGTTGAAATATTTTAGAAGTACAGAACATACTGTCAAGGAAACAGCAATGGTAAGAGAGTATGGCTTGTTTTTGCAAAGGTACTGCTGTATTCAATTTTAATCTAAATTGACTGCTGCTTTGAAAGAAAATACCTTTAAAGTTCAACTTATCTTACTGACTAGATTTAAGATAATGTAAAACCTAATTTACTAACAGTTTGCCTGTGTTCCTAACACAGTACTATTAGCACACTCAGTGCTATCAAGCCTATTAAAATGAAATGTAACTATGCTTAGAAATAAAGAACCATTATCACTAAATACAGAAATGGCTAGTTCAAACAGACATTAATAACTGCAAATCAGTGAGATTGTGTCTGCCTAATGAGACAATAGGTTATGTTTTGCTTTTAAAGCCCCCACAAAATTCTGATTAGGAGTAGCAGTTTGCACATTCATTCTGCAAGGAGAACTTACATAGCAAATATATAGTAAATTCTCCCTGTTCTGCCTGTAAAAACTTGAACTACTTGTTAACTCTCAAGCAGAAGTCACATAACGTAATTATTGATCTTTAAATTTTCTTTCAGCTAAGCATGTGGGTCACAAACGTATACTGTGTATTTTCTTGTATCGTTTATAATTTTGTATTTAAAAACATGTTGTAAAATGCCTAAGAGTAGAGCAGCTATGGAGTAGAGCACTCAGAAAGTATTTATTATGAAGAGAACTTCTGTAACAAAAGGGCTTTATTCTATTGATTACAAGGGAAATTATCCTATTTCCCACCAGTACACACCATAGGAGAGTCAAACCCTTAGAGTTTCTAGACCCTTTTATTTAAAGTTTTTAAATAACTGTTGGCTGAAGGAGGTTCCTTAGACCTCAAGCCCATGACAAAGAAGGGTTCTGTCACTCACTGACCTAGCATGATAATCCCTGAAAAACTGAACTTCCTTGTTGTTTGCCTAAGAGGACAAAGACAATTTGAGCTAATTGAGACTTGATCTCTACTGGACAAACTTGTTTAAACTGTATTACTCTTATGAATCACTTTTAATTGTACGCTGCTGGTGAGAACTTGATGTATTGTAGACTTCTTCATCCTTTTGACAGCTTTAGTTGCTCAAAGTCATTGTCAACTCTGCCTCAAAGTGAAAGTTTATATGCACATTTGTGTTTGTACAGTCTGTCATATTTTAATTTCCTCTGTCCTACAACATCACATTTCATCAGCATCTGAGGACTTTGACTGACTGCAAACATGAGCAACCTGTTGTAATTGAAAGAGTTTTGCTTGTTTCATTGCTGCTGTGTTTGAACTCCACAGCACAGCTTGAGGCAAGCCTTGGAACCTTTTATGCTCCAACAAGACCCCTCTTGGATACAACGGTGGTGGAGTACAGGGACCAGATCAGCAGATATGCAAGAAGATTCTTCCACCACCTGCTCAGGTGAATGACAGTTTCAGCTTCTATCAACCTAAAATTAATTGCATATTTCAATAAATACCTACTTTAATGTGGTTAACATTTTCCAAGAGGACCACCCCTGAAAAAAATGCATTCATTGTTACTGTTTAACTTGCACTTTGTTTCTTTCAAGTACAGTATTGAAGGGAAAATGCTATGTAGAGCTCGTCTGTCATAAGTACACTTAAAATTAATTCCCTTTTAGCTTGATATAAAAAAGATAGCATGCTTCTGAGAGATTTATATGCACCAACTACTTGCAGATTAACTAATTGAAACAGCTTACAAACTTGGAGAAAACATTAAGTTTAAATAGAAGCTAAAATGGAAATGAACAGTGCATGGTCCAAGACATTTTTGTCTTTGCACCAATGAAATCTGAGCATTTTGTTATTCTCATCCTCAGAGTTCTTATACAGAAATTCATATTGCAGTAATTTCCAGTTAATTTTCAGTGTCATTAAAATAAGACGAGAAAATGAAATGTTACATTTGTCTTTAAATTATATGACATTAGAAGAGTCATAATACCAAATTCAGCTAGAATTTGTAGTAACTTGGTTTATTGCTGTATTTTTTCTACATAATAAATTAATAACCTAAATTTCAGTCAGTTATAAATATCAATATACAGCAGTTTAACCTGTTCATGTGTTCAACTACAAATACAGTTGAAACATTTCCTCTGAGAATTACCCAGTGTGTGAAAATAAGGATAAATTATCTTCTGATTCATATTATGTTTGTAACACCTTGTTGAGGAGGAAAGCAGATGGACATAGTGAGAAAACTTGCAGTGCACCCTTTTTCTGTGATTCATCCAGATTATATACATTGTCTCCATGTGCAAAGCTAGGAACTGCATGTTACTTCAGTAGCACAGTTCATGCATCTTTCAGATCTTAAAGAGAAATATTTTATACTGCACTTTGAATCTGAATAGGATCATCTTTCTGCTAAACAGGTCCATTCCAATGGGGAAATTATTCTGAGTAGAAGAATGCTCCAATTATCTGCATAATATGCACCAGCCTTTCATTGGAGTTTTCTTAATAGATGTGGCCACAATAGTGGATACAAACTTCACTTTTACCTTTCTCCTAGAAAGCAGCAGGGAAGATCTGTTGCTTAAATGGCCAACTGTAGTGGCTGCAGGCCAGTTGCCTGCAGAGGACAGATGTGGAAAGAATGCCTCAGAGATTGCTGAGAGGTGTAACTATAGTGGTCTTGCATCTGCAAGAGAAAGGTGTATTCCCTCTGACTCAGGATTTGCTTCCAAATGCTGGCAGGCATGCAGAGGCATGGGGCCCTGGCTAAGCTTTCAGCCCTTGGGGCTGCTGAACACAGCCGAATCACTGACTCAATCACCCTAGCAGACAAGAAGCTTCAGCATCAGAGTGCTGCCTGGACAGTATGGGGCGCAGTCAGGGGGCATGTAGGAAAGTCTCACCGTGCCTTTTACCTCCACTATAAAGTAGCCCTTGAACAATCCACTGTTGTGGCAGGTTTTTAAACAAATGTGTGTTATTTTGCTGTTTCCCTGTTGTCAAAGGGATTTGTATTCAACTGTGATAGGATCATGTGATTGCTGCAGAACAGATGGTAATGCTTAAAGCTTATCTGAGAAGACATAATCTAAATACAAAATGAAATGTTCAAAAATGGGAGATTTATCTGATAGAAAGCAAGGAAATTATGTTCAGAGCTGATCCTTATTGTATTAAAGTGGCTGTGCCTTAATTGATGTTTATTTCCTTTTAGATGTTTTCTTAAGTGACTAGAATGATTTGAATGTAGGCTAAGCAGAGAGTGCTACAGGTTTGTTGGAGTAATGGTAAACCATGGTTCTGAGTGAGAGAATGCCATCTAGGCATGATGCAATGTCTAGGAGAATCATAGACAATGCTCACTAGCTTAGGCACCTAAAAGTTGTAGCCACTGCTGTTACATCTGCCTGTGAGGAGCTAGCAAGGCAAGCCACTTCTGCCAGCCTGCATTTACAGTTGTAGGTTCAGAATAGGAAGAAAAGTGAGGAGACAATTATGCTATTCAGGTCACCATACTGTGCCCGTGAGGACACTGAAAATGGAGTAGTCCTCCCACTACTTGTTTGTCAGAGACAGCAACTGTGTCAGGAAGGCTACATTTTAGGTCAGTTTTATGCTTTCTGTCTCAACCTTTCTTAGTTGATTTATTAACTTTTTTTACCCTTACTTATTTTGCACTAACTACTTGAGTTAATGAATCTCATCAGAGTGAATGTGTGTTACAGCAGATGTGTCTGTGTGACCGAATAACAGGACATGAATGCAGATGCACTGTAAACTGTCAATGCCAACTTGATGCAGTGCTAGGGCACATTTGTTACTCTCTTTTAAACATGAGGAGGAAAAACCTAAGTGATCACTTTGTATCCTGTTGCAGCAAAAAGTGGGGGAAACACAGTGCTTCCTAAATTATGTGCAGTATAAGTATGGATGATATTAAAAAATATTTATTTGAATAGAGTAGGGCCTTCTGCAATTCCTTTAGGCTTCAGAGAAAGCAAGCAGCAGATGCACGGAAATGAAAACTAGAGGATAGGGAGCTAAAACACACAGGGAGAAGTGGGGTATGGAAAGTGAGGAAAGTGGGGTTAGGAGCATGATTAGAAGACAAGAAATCGGAGATGATCAAGGGAGTGGAGCATCTCCCTTATGAGGAGCGGCTGAGGGAGCTGGGTCTCTTTAGTTTGCAGAAGAGGAGACTGAGGGGAGACCTCATTCATGTTTATAAATATTTAAAGGGTGAGTGTCACGAGGATGGAGTCAGGCTCTTCTCGATGACAAACAATGATAGGACAAGAGGTAATGGGCACAAGCTGGAACACAGGAGGTTCCACTGAAATTTGAGAAGAAACTTCTTCTCAGTGAGGGTGACAGAGCACTGGAACAGGCTGCCCAGAGAGGTTGTGGAGTCTCCTTCTCTGGAGACATTCAAAACCCACCTGGACGCCTTCCTGTGCAACCTCATCTAGGTGTTTGTGCTCCGGCAGGGGGATTGGACTAGATGATCTTTTGAGGTCCCTTCCAATCCCTAACGTTCTGTGATTCTGTGATTCTGTGATGAAGGACTAAAGGCAGGAATGGGGACATACAGAGTCTTGCCAAAGGGCAGAGTGGGAGTACAGAGCGAAATGGGGGAAGACAGCTTGGGATGTATGTGGTGGGCTATAGAGGAGACCAGACACATAAGGGATGGACAGGGAAGGGCAGTGTCTTTCATACAAAATTAAAACATTAAAACACCTAAATCTTTCTAGATCTAAATCTGAAAAATGTTCATATAAACAAAAGCTTTCACCCCCCTCTCCGGCTTTCATTTGAATGCCCCACCAATCTGCCTTAAACCTTTTCTAGAAGGACCCACTCTTGGGAGAGAAATACTAATTTATTCTACATGCTGAGACAATCTTTGACCTGCCTACTGAGTCCGCCATAAAGGTGCCAGTCATTGTACTTTTAAGATGTGAGTGTCTGCATTTACTAGAATTGAGAAATACAGTTACCTTCTCAGAAAGGCTATCGTCACCTAGTAATAATCATGTGCCAGTGATTTAATCTTTACTGTAGGCTGAAAGGTTGTATATCCAGTTGCAAATAAATGGAGACATCCATTTTCACTTTTTCAGTGAGATTATAGGCTAACTATTTTTCTACCATCAGAGAGATAAGTTTCTAGAAAATGCAGAGCACTGTGATGGTAGGTTCCCTCTTTCAGGTATCGGGCACTTGAGAAAGAAGATGCTGCATAATTGCTGGGTGTATTGCAAATATGGGTTGGAAAATGGTGCTGCAACATGTGATGGGCCAAGAAACATAAACAGCACAATTGGAATGGATTGCAATTAGAAGGAAGGAAAATGCCTTGCAACATATTTGATACAGGCATGTTATTTGTATCCGTTGTTATAAAAGATAATTTCTGAAGTTTGCAAACCATGCAGCATCTTCAGCTTCCACAAAAAGAGAAGCTTAGAGCTTTGTGAGTATAGGCCCTGAATATAGAATATGGAATACCTCCTAAAACAGGCGTTCAGGATACAAAATTAAAATTAAAGGTCTCTTAATTACATGCCAGGGATCCATTACAACAATATTTATGGAATGAATAATTATTTTCACTTTAAATTCTTATCTATAATTAAAAAATACAGGAACTGAATTACAACTATAGAAATATATCTTAGGTGTTCCTTTCCACTTGAGTAGCACTCCAGTATTTTGTTATGATGTCACTGGTTTTAATAATATAATGCATTATATCATTATGTGAAATGTTGAGCAGAGGTGGATTTATTAGGAAGCCTTGAGGAGCCATAACTTTCTTGCCCCACCCTTTTGTTGAGTGCTGCCTACTAAGTGTATTTACTAAGTGTAATGGGGGAGTGGCTGCACAACCTCCTGCCCCTGTATAACAGCCTCATCTACCCGTGTACAGAACATGGAATGGGTTGGAATAGTTTTTCACTCGTTAACTATGGCATCGCTGACTCATGGCTTTGCTTCACTCTGATCAAGCATTCGTAAATTGTACTTGTCACATTTTCTAATGCATGAAATTATCTTGTTTGTTTAACACACACACAGGCACAAACACATGCCTGCTCTGTTTTGTTCAAATTTTTGTCTCTCTCAGACAGACAGTGAGAAAGTAACGTAGCCTGAGCTGGAGGTAAAGGCTGGGCAAGAAAGTGAAGTCTGAAAATGCAGCTCAGGAGTTGTAGAATTAGAATGCAGTCACAGCTCTGTGTTTCACTGCGCCCTTTACTCCTTTGTAATTCTGTTCTTGTGTTTGTGAATATGCAGTTAAGGATCTTTTTGCCTTTTTTTTCCATGGAAAAATACTAACATTCAAAACAATTTGGACCTTTCCGTCTGATAATTCCATTAAGAGAATGTAATTGGTTTTGCTACGAAGCAAAGCTCTGTTTTAAATAACAA